GGTAGTCCCCAGACAAGAAGGGAAGGAAATAAGGGGCACCTGGGTGGTTGTTTCCGCCTCTTGATCTCAGCTCAGGTCTTGATCTCAGGGTCCTGAGTTCAAGTCCCATGCTGGGCTCCACCGTGGGCATGAAAGAAAAGGAGGAAGGAAATTGGAATGAAATCCTCCTCACACTTCTCCCTTGCTCTTTGGCCTTCTCCCTGTCTTTCTCTTTCCACTTCACTCTTTCTCCCTCTTTCTAAAGCTTTCCAGTGGCACCTTTCCTCTCCCTCAACACAGAGGCCTAAGGAAATGCGGGCCGTTGCACTGGCTCCCTCCCTCTTCTCTCCTCCTATTCTCGCCCATCCACACCTTCACAACCACACCCTCCCGCTGAGCTGCAGGCTCCCAGATAAGAGGGTGGAGTTCCTTTCCCAGGACCAGCTCTATTTCTCCCTGAACCGGGTTTGGTTACCGGTGAATCCCTTGCTGTGGTCAGTGTCTTAACAGGCTTACAGAGCCTGCCTCTTCTCACCGGAGCTAGTACCCTTGATGTTTCATTACTCAAACCTCTTCCCTGTCTTCCCAAGCTGGGTGAATGCTCATTGCTATCTGATGATAAGGCCTAAGGAATCTCAGAGTGGGTAAGCAGAGGAGGCTGCCTGGACCCTCAATCTTCCCTAAAATGCCCTTCAATGCAACACGATGCCTCGTTTAAATTTCTACCAATTTTTATGGATTACACCATTAGCACAAGCCTAGGGATTTCCAAAACAGGACTATAACATCTTAGAACGCTAGAATTTCAGAGCCACAAGGGGCCTCGGAGACCATCAAGTTCAGTTCCCTCAGTCAAGAAGACAGGTAACTTGCCCATGGTTCTAGGGCAGAGTCGGGCTGAGACCACAGCCCTCCAGCTCCCCGTTCAGTCACTCCACATCGGCCCCAAGATTCTTGCCCCCACTTTCAACCACTGTGCCTACGTTTTCAATTTTAAGGACCTCATTTGAACCTCATTTGAAGGACCTCATTTGAAGGACCTCATTTGAAGGACCTCATTTGAACCTCAGAGAATTCATAAACAGACTCCAGAACTACAAAAGCTGCCATATCCCTATAAAAACCAAAGGCACCAAGAGCAGAGGAGTCCATTTTAGTTCCAAGGAAATGCCCATATCCAAAACAGGGAAGAAAACGCTGACCCAGAGATTTTTAAAAAGGAAGAGAGAGAACAGCAAACTTCACAAGGGCTTGTACTTTTATCTTTGTGCTTCTGTGTCAGTGGATCTCCCAGTTAAATTAAGAGAAATTATTTTTACCCAGTCAGGGCACCTGGGACTGAAGTGTTATAAGAGTGGTCTCACAACGTCTGTGTTTGGGAGGTGGGGTATTGTGAATTCAAGACAACTAATTGGAACCCTACTTGGGCTTCCTTGATTACTAAATAACAATTCGGGATCATCTAAGCAGAACCAGAAAGAGTATTGGAAAGGAGAAATTTATGGTCAGAAAGTTTCAGATCTACCCTGGCTGAAGCTGATGAGCTCTTCCCCAGGGCTGACATCCATCTTGCAAGCCAGCAATTAGTCCGGGGTTACAATGGATTGGCAACTTTTTCCTGTAGTTCTCATGACAGGTGGTAACAACGTGAAGGTGTGAGCTACAAGAACTATAAACCAAGTTATGGGATCACCGGAACAGGGCTGGGTTAGATGCCTGTGCCTCTGGTTTTGGACTCATTTAACCATGACCTCGTGGGTAGCAACTGGGTGTGTCCTTCTGAGTATGGACATCCAAGAGTCCCGAACATCTCCAAGCTTTTGTGTCAGGCATCCAGTAAGTTAAAGAAGAAACCATATTCATGTGTTTAGAAAATGAAATACCTCAGAATCCCATCATGTGGGTATAGCTGACTAGATATATAGTTTGAAAGCTTTAAAAATGCTTTCTGTTCTTTTTGAGTCTTAGGTCATAATAACCATTCTGATCCAACCAGTTTTACCCATTAAATATTAATTAAGGGTTAAGTGTTTAGAGGATAAGGGGAACTGCGAAGAGCAACAACGAAAACGGAATAGAGAATTTCTGTGTGCTGAGGACTGCAGACTAAGAACAAAGTATAGAAGTTACAGAGAAGCCAACTGGGCTGGATTTAAGATTTTCTAATAATTAGAGCTGTCCAGCAACGTGGGGCGGGGGGGGAGCAGCATGGAGGTGGGGAGCATGGAGGCGCACTCTGAGGTAGGAAGCCCCCCTACTCTGCATATTTTAAGGACATGCAAAATGGCCATCTGTCCAAGGTGGTGTTAAAATAGGATTTCTGCATATGGTGGGAGAATGAATGAATTGATCTTTCAAACTGAGAATCCCTCCCAAACTGAGAATTTGGTGTACAAAATTAAAGATAGAACATAACTAAATATGCCTTGTGCCCTTTTCTGTGACCATTTTTCAGATCTGCTCCCCAGTCAGGCTCTGAGGAGTCTACAGAGTAGCATTTTGCTTAGTCTGAAAGCCTTCTAGGGCTCTGACTGCGCTCTCTCCATTGACCCCAGAGCATCTGGCCTAAATGAAAGGCCCCAGAGCCCCTGCCCCTCCAGACCAAGCCAAGGGGCTTTGCAACCCCAGGTGGTCTTTATGGAGCCCACTCCCACGGGCGCCCCCAGGTCTGGATAGTCGCCTGGAACTGGATGGGGATGGGCCTAAGCGGGTCCCCGGAGGGGAAGCAGGAAGAGTTGGGAAAGTCACAGTCTTCCTGGTCAGTGGAAGGGATGTGCCCTCCGCTCCCTCAGAAATGTGCCCTGTCCTCCTGGGAGGTAGCCAGCCTCCGTTCTGGGATGTAGCCTGCTCTGGGCTGGCCCTTGATGGCCTTCTGCCAACTCCCAGGACAATTTAGTGCCCTCAAACAATGTAAAATCTGGGGGGTCCTCTGACCAGGACGCCAGACCGGATGGCCTGCCGCCCTCCAGACAGCACTCCACCCCCGCCCCATTCTTCAGTCTGTGGCAGAATCCAGTGGGCCTCTGAGGGTGGGAGGGAAAAAATAACCCTCACATTTCAGGATTTTCAAAGACTTGCAGCTGAAATCCAGAAAAATTCCTGCCTCTAAGGAGCTCCCTCACTCTTTCTTTTTTTCTTTTAAAGGTTTTATTATTTACTTGACAGACAGAGATCACAAGTTGGCAGAGAGGCTGGCAGAGAGAGAGGAGGAAGCAGGCTCCCTGCAGAGCAGAGAGCCCGATGTGGGGCTCCATCCCAGGACCCTGGGATCATGACCTGAGCCGAAGGCAGAGGCTTTAACCCACTGAGCCACCCAGGTGCCCCTTCCTTCCTCACTCTTTCTTTTTGGAGGCAGCAGGAAAGCAGGACTTAGAACGGCATTTTCAAAATTGTCCTCAAGCTCCAGGAAATACCATTTATCATAGTGTATTTTCTCACTTCTAGAACTATAGTATAATGGGAAATGCTGCACAAAAAATGCAATTCAGGATGGTCTACACCCGCAGATTTCTCCGTGTTTTCTGTCTGCTGACCGCTGAAGTATCGCCTATAGTTTAAACTTGAACAAGAACAACAAGAAGATTTGTACTAGATTCATCGAACAGCATTACTATCGACTCTAATAATGGCTTCCCTTAATCCACAGCCATGTAATCTGGAAATAATAAACATTTTAAGCAAATGTGGGAGTTCCCTGCATCTTGAAAAGTTTCCCTTGCACTTAGTTAATCATCCCCTCGAGGGTGGTTTTACGAGGCGTCTTGTCTGTGCAATGTACACGGGCTGATTACATTTAAATCTTCTCTTCCAACCAACGGCATTTCTGAAGGAAAAGCCTAATTTCGTCAGACAAGCTGAATCCTGTCATTTTCCTCGGCTTGTTTATGTAGGGAGAAAATAAAACCAGCCTCTATGTCGAAATGGGCCACACCTCAACCAAAACGCTAACCCAAAACAAAACAAAACAAAACAAAACAAAAAGCAAATAGAAATCACCCTTCCTCCTTTCTCTAGATTCAAGTTATGATTAGCATGAGTGTTTGCATTTGCACACCCACATTTTGGAAGAGTGCGAAGATAAATGGTCCAAGACAATCACTGACTTCCATGAGGAAAAATCTCACATCAACCAAAAAAATCAGTTTATTATTGCTAAGATGGCATCTTTTCACTCAGCTCTAAAATTTCTAGGGTGGAAGCACAAAGCCATTTAACTTTTTTTTTTTTTAAAGCAGGAACAGATGAAGTTCCCCTACCCCACCCTCTCCTCCCTGTTTCCCTCCTGCCTCTTCCCATCCTCTACATCTGGCAAGGAGAGAAGGAGCTCTGGTCTGGATTCCCCATCAGGCTGATTTGCACCAAATGAAACTCTCCCACATATTACTTGAAACACCAGTTGAAACCCCCCCACCTCTCTGTTTTCTTTAAAAAGCCCCACCCCCTCCTCCCACCTTGAAGGGAGAAGTAAAACTGATATTTAAACAAAAGTGAATGAAAAAGCTGAAAGACCCCTTTGTCTAAGCAACAGCAAAAGTGAACTAAAAAGCACCTATCGATCCATCATCCAAAAAAGATCAGCAAACGATGGACAAGAGAGACAACTCAAACCCTGAATGCATTTGAATCAAAACGGCCAACCTGGAAAACATCTGGCAAGTCCTTTCAAAGGTATGCAGTGTTTCCTCCGTAAAGAATCCCTTATCCCGGTGTGTTCCAAAGTCCTTGCTCCCTGCTCCCAAGCAAGAAACCAGTTCCTGCAAAACGTAATCACGGCCCAAGCCCGCTGAATTCCCTGGGGCTCCCCCTGTCAAAAGGCATTTTCCCAAAACTCACAGAAAAAGTGGTCTGGGTATCCACTTGTAGCCAGAAGTTTCAAGAATTCAATCCAGAGGATTACAGGAAGAAAAAGCACAAGAAAAAAATTAAAAAGCAAGACTTAGATGACAAGGTCGGGAGAAGGAGAGCAGAGAAGGAAAGAGAAAGTTCACTGAGCTTCCCAGCGGCGCTGGAAGGTGTCCTACCTGAGGATTCCGGGGAATGAAGTGCCCTGAGTAGCAGGAGCTGGTGGCTGCCCTGTCCGCTCTTCTGGAGGTATGTGACCGCAGTGAGGGGAGGGACCTGCTTCCCGGGGTTATAAGTTTCCAGCGCTGGTGTGCTGGGGTGTGTGATGGGCGGTTTCTTTTCACTCTGTTTTAAAGGAGTTTCTATGAATCAGTCTGACTAAAAAAAAAAAAAAAAAAAAAAAAAAGATTTGTTGGTAAGTTACGCCCTGCTAGGTTGGCAGCTGGTCAAGAGAGGCTGGGAGTGAGCCATCAATTCAAAGAAGCCTGTTTAGGCTCTCTCTGACTCACACATACAGACCACAGTGGAAAAAGGAGTGACATTGCTTCAAATGAGTAATAGAAGTCACACAAATAGATCTGTTTACCGAAGCCCATTCCTCCTCACCGAAAAAGAGACTTGGTTACCATGGGCAGAGCCAAAACACAAGTTGTCTGTCCAAAGGTTCATCTGGGGAGGGGGAGACAAAGGGACACGGCCCTGCCCCCTGAAATCCTAGCTAATCATCCAAGGAGATCCCCATCCTTCCTCCCCCACCTAAGGCATCCGTGGCTGCCCACTGTCAAGAACGAGCAGATTGATTTTTTCTTTGCTTCCCCGCCTTACCCCTGTGCACTCTCCTATGGGCAGCCGTAACTCGAGGCCTGGGAACCTGGAAACCAGGAGAGCACACACGGAGAGCTCTTGTAACCCAGCCTCTGACTGATGGAGCACAGGCTAACCCCCAGACTGGCATTTAATTATACTCTGATTGAATGCCCCTGTGGACTCCTCACATTCGGGAGCTAGTCCCCTGCTGAAGGACTTTGCTCTCTGATCTCCATGTAATAATCATCTGGACCTTGCTCCATAGTTGAGCTCCACCAGGAGGGGCCCTGGAAGTCACCTAACCCCACAGCCCCCGCAGCAGTCCCTGGAGATGAGAGCTCAGATGCTGGTCAAGCCAGCTCTCCACTTACTGGCTATGTGGCTGTGGACAAACGGACCTCCCTAGGCCAGTCTCCTTCTGCATCCAATGGGGGCAGAAAGTACCCATCTCATAGAGCTGTGGTTAGAAATACACGGAGAGAGGGGGTCCCGGGTGGCTCAGTCGGTTAAACATCTGCCTTTGGCTCAGGTCCTGATCCCGAGGTCCTGGGATCGAGTCCTGCATGGGGCTCCATGCTCAGCTGGGAGTGAGGCATCGTCAATTAGCAGAGGCAGCTTGGATCCCAGTCTGCCACATTCATTCAACTGTTTCTGTTCTCTGCTGCATAGGGACGACCTATTTTAATTCAAATTATTCTTCTGCAGTTATGCATTTATTCAACCAACACACCTGCAGGTTGCATGAGGCCCAGTTCAGAGCACTGGGTCACAGATGTGAGCAAGATCCCTGTCCTTTTGGAACTTCTTCTCCATAATGAGGGTGGGCTGTGGCTATTCACCAAAATTTTGATAAAATTGGATGGTAAAATTGCAGGTGAATTTCAGTCTCCTCTGGTTCACATTTCTACATTTTCCAAATCTTCTGCAATTAACCTACATTACTTTGGTTTTTAGGAAAAATATTTTAAAGTGAAAAGGAGAGAATATTTTCTGAAGTGGATGCTGGGAAAACATCACACACACATGTACACACACGTCACACACACACCCCGATTTGATACCACATCTTCCCAAGTCCTGGAGAACTGAAGTCTGTCCCTGGAAGGCTGAGACAGTGTAGGTTTTTCATTAAAAACTTAAAAAACAAAAAAGTGATTTGACACAAGATTGCATCAGTTTCTCATATCTTTCCTCACCTCCTCCTCCCCTATCACTCATTTGATAATAAAAGTGCCTGTTTGAGAAAAGCCACTCCCAGGAGTGGGTTAGGAGGCCCTGTGATCTCTGAGTAGCCTAACCCTCAGGGAGGGGAGGACGGTGAGGCCCAGGAACCCTCGCTGGCTTTCGGGGCAGAACAGAAGGACAGAATGACAAGCACATCCTCTCCCAGCTGCAGCCTCCAGCCTTCCCCTCCAAGGCCTTCTGCCAGCTTCAAACTCTCTCTCCCCACCACCCCACCCCTGCAGCATGTGAAGGAGACTGGGCTCTGAGGGGGTAAAGTCCTGGGATGCTGAGAAGTATGTGGTCTGGTTGCACTTTTTTATTAAGAAATCTGATGCAGGGGTCCTGGGTGGCTCAGTGGGTTAAAGCCTCTGCCTTCGGCTCAGGTTGTAATCCCAGGGTCCTGGGATCTAGCCCTGCATCAGGCTCTCTGCTCAGCGGGGAGCCTGCTTCCTCCTCTCTCTCTGCCTGCCTCTCTGCCTACATGTGATCTCAGCCTGTCAAATAAATAAATAAAATCTTAAAAAAAAGAAAAGAAAAGAAATCTGGAGCCAGGAAACACTGGAGGGGAAATGCTTTCTCCCTTGCTCCCTTCTCAAGCTAACAAAGGAGAAAGGCAGAAACTTCTCTTCAGGTACTGAAACAGAGGAGACATTTGGTCCGGCTGGATTCCTGCACTGGGTTTGAAAGGAAGAGGCAGTGCATTGACAGGCGGTGGGGGGTGAGGGGGCATCATCCATTTTTCTTCTCCCTCTGCCTGGCAGTGGGCTGGCAAATGAGCTGGTCTCCTGCATTTCCACTTCAAAGTGAGTCCATGTCCTCTCCTTCCAAATGGACCTAATAAAATCTCACCTGCCTGGGCCCTTTGCTGATGTTGAGGGTTTGGAGAGAAAATCTCAAATGCTTTGAGCTCTTAAAACACACACACACACATACACACAGTGGTGTCATATAAAGCTAAGTATTTTTAAAAGATAAAGGCCAGTCCAGGAGCTCTAAGGCTCATGATTAAGCCTTGAAATGTCACTGAACTTATTTTATACAACAAAGTCATCCAGTCTGGGAAGGAAATCAGGTCTGTTCGGGCTGCAGCTCCAGCTTACCGTGCCTCAGGTTGTGATTCGAATGTGAAGTCCTATTCGTTCCATGGCCACGAGCTTCAGACTGTGGATAGGAAAGAATTCAGGGGTCTAACACCACATGGGGCCGGAGAACAAAACTCTCTCTGCCCTCTGCATGGGTCTTTGCCAACTCTACGGGGTCATCTGCCATTCTGCTCTATGCTCCCGTGCCCCTCATCGGGAGGGTAGGTTAGACACTTTCATTTTCCACATGGATAAAGAACCAGGCAAAGTTTCATGTGACCTCCGTAAAGTCACATATTCTCAGGAAGGAATGTCCCCTCTTGCCCAGTGCCACAGTGTTACCCTCAAGTACGAGAATATTTTTCCCTCCTTCTGAAGCAATGAGCATCGGCATTTGGCACGATGCCACGTGGGGCCGATTTTCAAGTTTGAACTGGCGTACACACTATTAATGAATGTACGAATCAAGGGCTTCTCATGACGAGATACCAGGAGAAATCTGCAAAGGTAGGTCTGACCCCTGATGGCTCCCAGAAAAGAGAACTAATAATAGCTTCAACTTGTTTTTGCACAAACTCGGTTAGCCAACAGGAATCTCAGACATGTTCCCCAAAGCCATTATATGTGCAGAGGATGTCAATGCTAGTATTAGCAAACACTGCTTGAGAGGTAGCTAAGTTGAAAGGAAGTTACATAGCATCTTCCAAAACCAAATGAGTGTTCCTTGCCACTCCTCTTTGAAACTTGAGAATTTACCAGAAATTTCATATTCTTCCCTCTTTTCCCTCCTGCCGTGCTCCTGTCCTTATTTCTCCCTCAGACTGTTTTCTTCCTGCCTGCATCGTTTCCTTTCTCTAAATCCCTCTCAGTGACACGTCCTCTGAATATAATTCCACAAAATGGGAAGGCTCTCAAGCCCTCTCCGTCTCCCCCTTTCTTGTCTCCGCGAGCTTGTCCCGAAACTGCTTTTGAAAGATAAAATTCATGAAACTCTGAGAGCGTTCCAAGAATGCGGGCCCTCGGCCTGGCACTTGCAGCCGAGTGGAAAGTCTCACCGACGAGCAGTGTGACGGCGTAGAAGAGGAAGGGCTGTCGAAGGCATCTGAACTTGGCAGGGGAAAGGAGCCAACCCTGCCGCCTTGGACAGTTACCAGATTGATAACTAATGACCGTCTTTAAGTTCTTAGGCAGCTGGGATGTGCATGGATGCTGGAAATGGCTGAAGGAACGGAACGCCCAAGCCGTGTCCACAAGGCCACAGCTCAAAGCCAGAGAAGCCAGAAGACAAATAAATGATGATCAAAATAAAAAGTGAAAAGCTCCTTCTCCAGCTAATGTCAATGGCAATACTGGCGAGCCGGGGGGGGGTGTATTAAAGGTATATCGCTTTCTTCGCGTTGCCCCTCATGTTACTGAATGCGTGATTCCTCCTGCTTCACTGACCATTTCAGGGAAAGCACTGAATATTTATAATTAAAGAATGACTCTCCCTCCCTTTCCCTACAGTAGTGGGCAGCAGGTTCAGTAAGTAGATGGTGGGTACAGAGCAATTACTCAATTAAAACCTAGTACATTTAATTAACAAAGTGTCCAATCCCAGATAAAGAATCTCATTCCTCCAAAATTTTCCCATCCAACTCAGAGGCTGAACTGAGCACCCCTATGGCTAGGCTTCCACAGATATGAGAAAGCGGTTAGCACATAGGTTGACATTTGCCCGGGAAAATTGCCAGGAAAGAGGGCGCAAAGCTAGGCAGCCCAGCCCGGGACTCCACTGGGACCGTGTGGTCAGCAGAGCATACGAGACACAGTGACACTCTAGAGATGATCTTGATACCAAGTTAACACTTGCAAGGACATGAATAGTTTCCTGGTGGAAACAAACAAGCAAACACTAGTAAAGTGCCTCCATTATTCAGCCTCATTGGAAAATGGAGTATTCTTTCCAGTTAAATTTTAGGTTAATTGATTGAATATTTTCTAAGTCTTGCAGGACTAAATAGACATCTTTCAAATCCCTAAGACTCCCACATGTGTGTGCGCGCACACAAGATGGCCTTTGCCATTCCAAACGCACGGATGTCAGGTCCACTCCACCCTTTGTGGGTAGTATGTAGGAAGTTCTCTCAAGGCTCTGGAACTTGGCAGAGACTGTGGCCGCAGGATTCCCGACCATTCTTCCCTAGCAGGGCTGGGTAAATGCTGACGAATACACAAAGGGTATTTTATATAAAATACATAAAAAAGAGGG